CCAGAAAGGCCGGTGGGCTTCAGGCATAAAAACAAATCAGTAGGGCAACTATAACAAAGGCCCTGGAAACGAGACTTCTGAGTCGGAAGTTCCGACAACCTAAGCCCCGAAACTCCACTCCCCCGGCATCGGCAGTGTGGATGAGAGGCCAGCGAGAGTGTCACGCGGAGGGCGACGAGCAACGTCAGGAAGGCCCAACATTCCGTGCAGCCCTTCTGAAACGTGTAAGATGGTAACATTCTTCAGCTCTAGTTGTAGCATTTCCTTATGCGCATCCCAGTCCCTCATGGCTGATATGTTTATTATACATGCCCTCACATTCTGATTCTTCAGCTGCATTTGTTGCTTCCTTCGTTCAGAGCTTTCCGAGGCCAAGTCACTATGTGATCTTGGCCTTACAAATATGGTCCTGTATGTGATGTTGGCTTTAATTACAAATTGTCCTGCATTTATTTAGATTTCCTTCATCTTGGGGATGCGTATGTTCTTTGGCGATGCTCCGGGCTTTTTACATGTAGGTTTTGTGAGGTTGTGCTGCTGCCTTGTTGCAGGCCTACATGCTTCCTCATTCAACATGATGTAAGATGGGTTCGCTTTGTTAGGCAGATGTTGACACCATTAGTTGCGAGGTTCGTCTTTTGGCTGGGCTTGGGAGCAGGGAAGCAGGACATCTCTCACTACTTACTGGGTTTGCATTCGCAAGTAGGGGGGGAGCTTTACCGCAACCCTTCTTGAAGTAATCGTGCTCTTGTTGGTTGCATCATTCATTTGATCGGCACTCCCAGCGACAATGGTTTGCCGATTAGGAGAAAGTAGGCATCTCCTTCTCAGAAATGAGAAGACGCACAGACTGTTCGAAGGTGGCGGAGAAAAGCTGGAAGGGTGTTCGCTACTTTGTGCGCGAGGTGCCCTGGATCTCCCTTCTTCGGTGTCTCTGCGGTTTGCCATGGGGTGCAAGGTGTTGAGTTCAGTCTTCTCAAGCAGTTTCCCACATGGAGGCCTAAGTTTCCAAGCCATGCATTGGGAAACCAGACTTGCAACTCTCCGCCAGACGCCCTAGTTGAGGTGCTTCTCAAAGAAATCTTCCTGCGCCAGCTCCCGATGGCTTACTTGGTCACCTTGCCGGTCTTTCTCGCAATGCTTCTCATGACCCTGGTCATCAAGCCCAGCCACGTGGAGGTGCCGAATGCTTGGGTTTTGTCACCACTTGGCAAGCTGAAATAAAAAATGCACAAGTCCAACCTAAGCTTCTCTGAGACTCTGAAACCTAGCAAACCATAGCTGACAACTTGACGTTCAACACCCTTTCAGCCTTTCAAAAGCCCAGCTGGCAACTTTTCGAAACTGGTTCATGGCTTCACCATGGAATTTCCCTACCCAAGAGGGTGCTTCTCCGTATGGATGGTCTTTTTATGTCTTTTTGCGGGCCCCCAACAGGCATGCTGTGTGCATTCCAGAAACTTGGCTAGCCGAAGCCAAACAACCAGAGATGTCATCTTGTACTAGATCCCAGGCCGTTTTCTCTTTACTTTTGGCTCGCGAATGTACGCACCAATCATGCGTTAAATTACTAGAACGAAGATACAAGTGTGTTGGCTGTTCACCTTTCTCGCCCAGTTGTTCTCTCTTCTAATAATTCCCGGGCGGTAACAATAATAATGGAGCTAAATAATAAAACGAGTGTAGAGAGCACAATATTATTATTGGTAAGGAGTTTACGTACGCACGCAATAATAATAATGTGAGAACGAAGCGTGAAGAGAACAATGTGAATAAGAGAGTGAATGAAACGCAGAGAAAGAACGAACGAAATGAACATGTGAACGAAACAAGAGAAGAATGTACGTCCGTGAGCTCTCATTCCCTGAGGCCTAAGCCCACCCAAAGCCATGTTTTGTCACGATTCGACGAATCTGTTCCACCCAGTTTGCTTTTTTGCCATTCCTGCCGCAACCATTGTGACTGCTATATCATCTATCATTCAATCTCCGTAGGACTGCCCTTACAAGCCGCAAGGTCCCAGAGCTGACGCCGGGCGAGGCCTTCAGCGGGGTGGTGAACGCACCTAGGCTCCCCGTGTGCGGAGCATTGGACGTGAGACTCCGTGAGACTCGAACTATGCTCTGCCCAAACGGAGCATTGGGAGAAGGTTCGTAGACCTCCCTGGCAAGCCCAAAGCGCCACCCTCAAGAAATCTTGGCTCAACGAGAGGCACCTCTGCTTTTGGCAGCTCAATCAAGCTTTTGTGGTGGGCTAAGCAGTCCAGCGATGCCTGCGTCGAGCTTCGGGTCAAATTCTAGATCGGGAATTCTACCAGCAAAAAGGGGCTTGCTCATGTACTTGCGGAGCAAAACTGGGTGAAACTACCCAGCCCGAAGTCCTTGCCGCTTCAACTCCAGGCTCTTGCCTTCGCAGTTTCCCGGGTTCACGAACCCAGGCATCCATCTACACCAGCTGGATCCCCTTCGGTAGCCATGACCTCCATGCTGACGCATATGGCCAGTTCGAGTGGCTCCTGGGCTGGGTTTGTATTCATGGCCTACTGCAAGATCAGGTCGTTGGTGAGGCTTGTGTCCAAGGCGCTAGAGCCCCGATGTCCATGAGGTGTTTGTTGTTCTATTCCTGCAGGTATTCTGAGTTGCACACGAGCAGCCAAAGTAGAGACCCAGCTGATAACGATTGGCTGGATCGGATATGTGGGTCAGCTATGCAAGTTTCAACTTGGGTGCCTAGTTGCAATAGTTGCCCCGCCCTTTGCAGAGTGTTAACCACGTACCTGAAAATTAGAGATAACGAGCCTGGAGCCTGAACCCGCGCTCTAGGTATGCCATCTTGGAGGTCCTTGGGAAGGCGGTGGTTGCAGGCTGTCCGACCTGGCTGCTTTGCAGGCTGATCTTGGGAAGAGAGAAGCTCCCTCTTGTCTTTGGCGCTGTTTTGGGTTGTGGATCTTCTAGCCCGGTTGAGCTTTAACCCCTACGCCCCAATTCTGAATCCAACACGCTGCGCTCAGTTGCTCAGGAAATTTTGGCAACAGCGCTGGCGTTGGCAGGCTTTGGGCTTTGCCTTCTACGTTGCAGTGATGTTTGGCTGCTCGAGCTTGGATTCGGGGTAAGAGGCTGCGCCTTGGGGAGGTCGGGCTGTGTTGGATACAAAGTCCAATTTCAACGCTTCGTGCAAGATTCAAATTTCAAATGGCTGCGGAGTGCGGAGGTGTTTGGTTGGGAGGTTGGTTGGAACTAGCACTGCTCATTTGCAATCCTCAAATGGTACTGCACGGTTGTTGTAATTGTAGGTTCTAATTTTGTTGCTCTTGAGGGGTGACAGCTGGACCATAGTTTGGACATGGCACTGAGGCATCAACGCTTGCGGCGCCGTGTTTGGCCACGAATCCATCGAGACTGGATGCGTACCAGCACCTTACCCTGCGTTGAACATGATTGCAGTCCTCCCTTGCTTCTTTGCCTTCGGGCGGAAGCTTCTTGGCCGTTTTGTGAGCTTTTGACTTCAGATCGCTTCGGAGCTGGCTTAAGGTTTGAAGCTCTCAGCTTTATAGGTTGCCTCAACCAGCTAGAACCTCAGATAGAGCTACTGCTCGCAGCCTTGCAGCCCAATTTCAAGTCAGCCAAGTACAGCAATTTGCTTTTTACACTTGGCAAGCTAACCAACTAATCATCAGTCCACCTGCATTGAACCATCATCCTTTTGGGGTGCGGGACTTCAGTGCCTCGAAGCAAGCCCTGAATCCAAATCAATCTGAAATCTAAAGCCTTGAAGCTGCATCCTCAGTCCTCCCCCCTCGAAAGTCGCATAGAAGCTCGAACCCTAAACCCAAATCCCCGGCGAGCCCTAAACCCGACACTCCTCCACTTCTCCACTGCGCACTGACGGATAAAGCCAGGATGCGACGCTTGATGGGAACGCATCAGTACTCAGCGCTCTTGCTCGCTGGCGCAATACAGGCCTTAGGTTTTCTGCCCAAGGAATCGTTGCAGCTTCTGGACCGCGTTACAAGCCTTGCTGGCTAACTGCTCATAGGTTTTGGATGGCGGATGGTTGATATGTCTGCAGCCTGCAGTTCATATAAGCAACCAACTGCAGCTGAGTTTTGCTTTTTCTCTCATTTAGCTACTCATTCTTGCCTTCTCTCAGTTGAGGGCGTTGAATGTAAGGGTTACTGATTGCTTTCAACGGCAGGCCGCCGTTTTCTCGGTTGAGTATGTTGTCTTCGTAACCAACGCCTCCATGTGGCCAGATGTTGATGCTGGGCTCGCAAGTAGTCAGCAGCGCTTTCATGTCTTTTTGTAGCAAGAATTTGTTTGTCCCAGGGTTATGTTGAGCCTGAGGATGCAGCGATCTTCACCTACAAGTACACCCTCTCTCCTTTGATTTGGACCTGTCTCATTCTGCCAGTGGTGAGGCAGCTTGGTCAAGCTGGGACCCGAACAACGCACATCCAATGCAAGCCTCAATCCTGAACACAGGAACCTCATCCTTGAACCATCTTGAACCCAACAACTGGAGTCCTAGACCCTAAGGCCGTAAACTGCCCCCCCCCTCCCAAGTTGAGCTGACAAAACTGTCTTGCGTAAGGTGAATGCAGTTCAGGTTCCGGGCTTCGGACATAGGATCCTCGATTCTCTGGCATCGCACCACCTGCAGCCGAGGCACACTCTGCGATCCCTGGAGGTACCTATGGACGTCAAAGTTGGGATCACCATCATCTTCTGCGTCTTCCCTTATGCCTCTGGCCGCCTCCTCCTCTTTACATTCAAGGCATCTAGGCGATTTTGAATGAGCTGGCCTTCCCATCTTCAAGAGTTTACTGAGTTTCAGCTGAACTACAAGAGGGTAGGGTTTCGGGCCTGCAGCATGTTTCTAGGAATCTGTACCGGCCACTCTTCTGCCTGACTGCCATGGCCTTCCAAAATCCTTTTTCGTGCACATGCCAAACAACCCTTCCACCCCACAAATAGTCCCTAACCTGTGAACCCCTCAACCCATAACCCAAAGCTATAGCAAAGGCACGGGGGGCCTTTGCCGTCGCTGCTGCTCTCGATCAGCTGCTCTCTGTTGCCGTGCACATTCTCGTTCCCAGATCGACCAGGTGCCCCTACTTAACACATTGAGTTTGTTCGGGTTTAGGCTTAGTACAACTTTGCCGGCTTCAGGACATGGCCACCCAGGGCACAGTCAGGAGCCGAAGGTGTAGGCGATGGGTTCTGGCTGTTCTGTTTTTGGGTGTTTGGGTGGGGCGGGTGGTGCTGCTCCTGCAGGGGGTTGGGATTAGCAACAGGCTTGTTCTCAGTTTTTCTTTGGGTGTTTCGGAGACAGGGTTTCTGATATTCCTCTATTCCACGTTTAGGGCTGCCAAGCCGAGAAGTGGCACTTAACCGGCGAACACAAGACTGCAGAACTTTAAGCCCAACTGAAAGCTCAAAGTTCCATACCCAGGCATTCTGGTGGGCCTTCCGCTGTTGTCACAAGTTTCCCCTCTCGGAGACTTGGAGTCCATGGCGTTGTCCTGCGGAGGTTTCCTTCGAAGAATTTTGGGCCCCAAGCGCCAAGGATTCAGCCCAAAGGCAGCACACCTGGCCGTGGAGGGGGGGGGTCGAAGTTCAAGGCTAGCCGCAACCTAGTGTAGGTCCAGAGGAAAGCGATCTAGCATGTACCCAAGGCATCCCAAGGCCCCGAGCCTGAGCCCATTGTGTGTGTGAGCAAAGGAAAAGCTCGAAGGCGAAGTGAACATGTTGGGCATGGTCCTTTTCCAGGAGCGGGTAAGATTTATCAATGTGATCATGTCCGTCGGGTCTGCCATGTCTGGGCAGCTTTGTGCTTGCAACCAGGATGTTGCTGGCCGGAAGTGTGAGATTGTGCCGTGAAAAAAACCAAACAGATTGCCCTTCATTGTTCCAGTAGTTTGCCAAAGTCCTCAGGCCCACATATTTAAGTTCTTACCCTGAGTTCTGCAAGCCGAATCAGAGCCTGAAGACTTGCGCTCGAAGCCGACTCGAAGCATAGCCCCTAACTGTTTGCTGCTCTCCAACTAGACCAAAGCTGAAGCCTTGTGTGCAGCAGGTCTTCGTGAGCGTGGAGGCTGGAACAGCCGTGATCTTCTCGCTTCTACCACCCATCCTACACTCCCAGCGCATCTTGGGAACAGTGTACGAAAAGCTTTCGGGTCGTACTTATGTTTAGTGTAAAGGCCTCTCTCGAGCACCTGAGGCATGATCTTCCAGCGATTCTTCGCAGCGTGCCAAGGGACGCCGGACCTGGAGAAGCTATTGGAAAGAATGGCCATCTCTTTCTGCCTCATGCTGGCCGAGGACGTTTTTCTCAGTATTCTGTGGTTGAAGGACGACCTACCCTTGACCAAGGCATGGTAGCAACAGCCAAGTATGCAAAAAAGGGACTCATCAAAGCTCCGCAAGGATTGCATGAGCCCCTGTTCCTCTCCCCGGTCGCCCATTCCCCAATGCTCCGAAGGCCTTCGACCTAATGTTTTGGAAGAAAAGCACCTGGTCCATCCTTTCAATCTCATACCTGGGAATCTTGCTTCTGCACTGGCAAGGCTTTGGAGGGGGGCGGATGTTGGATGTGCGGATGCTCAGGGAAATCCGATAGCTGCAGTTCTGGGACAAGCTTGCGCAAGGTTCTTCACATGTGTGTTGTAGCATCTCGCCGACGCCATTACCAATCCTCCTTCGCCTACATGGCGAAGAAGCTCGGGTTTTGGAATGAGGGCCCCTTCCTTTCCTGTGAGCACCTAAGACCGGCTAAAGCCTGAAAGGGGGGTAGGAGCCCGGGCTTGTGATGGCTTGTGATGGCTTCTGAGAATGGGCCTCTGGCCTCTGAGGAATCTTCTTGACCATCTTCACTGCAGCCGCGCTGTTGCCGGAACAGATGGCTTGTCAAGACCCCTTGGATGTGTGCCTCGAAGCTGTTGTTTTTTTCTTTGGCTCTAGCCTTGAGCCCACATGTTGGTGCGACAGCGCTTTGATGTGCTTTGCTCAGGTGTTCTTGCTCGAAGGCGCAGATGTTTGCGGAGCTTTGTGGCTGCTGTGGGGTGAACATGACCGACAATCCCACCTGTCAATCCATGACGTCGTAGAAATTTTCTCACCTGGGGCAGTTGTCAAACTCAGGGCCCTTAGCACGAGATGACAGCTGCCGTCCCAGCAATGGGGGCTGAGGCTGTCAAGCAGCCTCTGGGCCGTAGGCCTTTCAACACTGACCCTTCTGGACCAGTGCAGGAGGGCAGTTCGTTTCGCATGCTAGAAAAGTCAGCAAAGCGGAATCCGCTGTAAAGGATTGCTTGGGCAAGATTGGGCAAGGGTGCGTCATTCTTCGAGGCCCCAGTTTCGAAGACTCTCGCGTGGCAAGTTTAACCTCTCCTGCCAGAGGTGCAGCCAATCATGTCCCTTCAGCTCTTGCGTGGATCCCGAAATGTTTCTCCGTTTGAAAGCTATTGTTTTCCTGATAGCCTTCAGCTTGGGGCTCGATTCTTTTGGTCTCAGAAGGGTTGTCCTTGACCAGTTGCAAGTCGAGCTTTAAGGGCGCATTTCTCCGGATTCAAGCCATTTGGTGATCGTGAGCCTGCGTGTAATGTTGTAATTACTCTTGATCAAGAGTCTGATCGTAGTTAAGAACAACATCTCCTTCTTGGTCCTCGCGGTAGAAAGTTCCACTAGACCGACACAGCTCGTAGCATTTAGGCTGAACCCATGGTTGTCAAAGCAGGCGACAAAGCTGCTTTGCTGCTTCACGTCTGCGCAGAACCTGCGCTCAGGAGTTCCACACGGTTTTGGGTTTTGGGGTTTAGGGTTAGGGTTTAGGTTTAGGGTTTGGGGTTTAAAAGGAGCGAAAAACCAATAGAAACCGAGGGTTTTTGCAAGCTTTTGATCTATTGGTTGGCTGTGGCTGTGGGGTTGCTGAAAAGGAGCGAAAAACCAATAGAAACCCAGGGTTTTTGCAAGCTTCTGATCCATTGGTGGGCTGTGGGAAAGATTTCGAAGCATTCGGGTTCGTGGATTGCGATGTGCTTAACTACGAAATTCTTGTGTTGAGATTGCGACTTGGTCGTGACTTGAAGCAGCTTGTTGTTGTGACTGTGAAGCCTCGTGGATTGCGATTGTTTGCAGTGAAGCATCTGGCTTAGCGCGACTTGAGTAAAGTATCAAACCGCTTCCGGGGGAGCCATGTCATGTCAGGCCCTTAAATTGCTTCACAGACCCTCTAAGGCTCTCCAGCCCAGATCTTTTCGGGCTCCTCCAAGCCCCTGTGCAGTCGGGTCTGTGTGAAATGCTTTATAGAAATTGTATAGGGTTTGGGTCCCAATAACTTTTGAACGAAACGTTTTGAACGAAACGTTTTTTTTTTGGAACGGGGGTCGGGGGTAAAGGGGGCGAGGGGAGGAAGGGCGCCATGGATATGTTTGCGTCCCCAATCCCTGCCAGGAGGCATCCCTGCCGGGCCTTGAAGCTTTGAGCCACTCAGAAAAGCCTTGTAAATGGCCAAATTGTCCGTGGGCAAAAGATGTGGGGGGGAGATTTTGGGGGACGGGAGATCTGGAAGAAAGATCTGGGCAGATCTGGCAGCTGGGCCTGATCTGGAACGCGGGGGGGAGATCCTGGGCAGGGGGGAGAGGGGGAGGGGGGGGCAGGAGGAGGTCTGGGGGCGGGGAGGGGAGAAGGGGCTTAAGTAAATTGAGCATCTGGCCTCTAGAGAGATGCGTTTTGGATTAATATACCTAAACTCAGCTTGTCAGCTGTTTAGACAACTACCTTGGGAAATTCAGAGTGACCCCACATACAATTTCGATTTATTTTGTCTTGAGGGTTTCCCATTGGTTTTTATTGGTTTTTATTGGTTTTCTATTGGTTTTCTATTGGTTTTTTGGTTTTTATTTGTTTTCTATTGGTTTCTGTTGGATTTCTATGGCTTTTTATTGGTTTTCTATTGTTTTTTATTGGTTTTTGTTGGTTTTCTATTGGTGTTCTATCGGTGTTTATTATTTTTATTGGTTTTCTCTTGGTTTTTATTGGTTTTCTATTGGTTCTTATTGGTTTTCTATTGGTTTATTGGTTTTCTATTGGTTTATTGGTTTTCTATTGGTTTATTGGTTTTCTATTGGTTCTTATTGGTTTTCTATTGATTCTTATTGGTTTTCTATTGGCTTTTCTATTGGTTTTTACAGGTTTTTATGGTTTTTATGGGTTTTCTATTGGTTTTTATAGGCTTTCGATTGGTTTTTATAGGTTTTCTATTGGTTCTTTATAGGTTTTCTATTGGCTTTTATTTGTTTTCTACTGGTTTTTATTGGTTCTATCGGTTTTTATAAGTTTTCTATTGGTTTTTATTGGTTTTCTAATGGTTTTCTATCGGTTTTTACTGGTTTTCTATTGGTTTCTATTGGTTTTCTATTTGTTGTCAATCGATTTATAGAGGGTATGATCGTATAGATCGTAAATACTTAGGGCCAAAACAACTGCAATGACAACACGTGTGTAAAAAGAAGCGTAGTAGAAAAAGGTTGTAGGGACCTTCTGCTCTTTGAAAAGAAAGAGGCCACGCGTCTAAGATTTTTCGATGTTGCTTGTGGGTATCAACCCTAAACTCTAACCCCCAAACCCTAAATCCTAGGGTTTAGTCAAGTCTAAGCATTCACTAATCCCATACCATGACAGAAGATATCGACATGTTTCACACGAACACAGGCGCACACACAACCCAGACCCTGCCCCAAACACTAGGCCCTGAACCTTTTGCCTCACCCTAACCCGAGGATCCGAAACCCTAGCGCAAGGGGGGACAGTGGGGGGCGGGGCCCAATCCAAAGGACCTTGCCCGCTTTTTATATGACCTTGTATGACCTTGCCCAAGAGAGGGCGCGGCCATACAAAGAGCGGGCAAAAGCCTGGTCACGTACAGATTGGGTAAGGTCATAAACAGATTGGGCAAGGTCATGGGTCAGCCTACGGACCTTGCTGATTGATTTTATGACCTTGCCGCTGTTTTTATGACTTTGCCTAATTCCTGGTTATATGACCTTGCGCTCTCAGTATATATGACTTTGCGCGCAATGTCATGAACATGGACATTTGAAAAGATGAGAGGTTTAGGATTAAGGTTTGATAGCACTTGAGTCTTCATGTGAGGATCGAGTCAGCGGAAGCCAATGCCGAAGAGCAGGGCGCGTTTGATCTAGAATTTTTGAGCTAGTATTTAAGAGCCCATCGAAATGCAAATAAGGCTAGGATCGTCAGGACGTCAGCAGTGCAGCATAGCCCACCACCATTCCACAAAGAAGATATGCAGATGAGCGGAGTTCTTGTTCAGAAAAAGAGAAACCAAATTTGAAGCAATGATTCGGCCTCGTGCTGTGTGTGTCGCGCGTTTCTTTTTCAGAAAGAAATGTTCTCCTTAGCGGGGGGGAGGCGTCTCCGGCGGGGGGGCTGCGCCCCCCCGCCGGAGAATCCGGTTTAGCCCTAAACCATAAAACGCCAAACCCTAATCCCTAAACGCAAGAATCTTCAAAACCCTAATCCCAAAACACGAAACACCCTCGAAACCCTAATGCAAAAGAGGAAAACCCCGAAAAAACCCTAATGAAAAACTGGATTTTAGGGTTTACGGACTTTTAGGGTTTAGGGACTTTTAGGGTTTAGGGATTTTTAGGGTTTAGGGTTTTTTAGGGTTTAGGGTTTTTTAGGGTTTAGGGATTTTTAGGGTTCAGGGATTTTTCGGGTGGATTTAGGGTTTAGGGTTTCGGGTTTCGGGTTTAGGGTTTAGGGTTTAGGGTTTAGGGTTAGGGTTTAGGGTTTAGGGTTTAGGGTTCGGGTTTAGGGTTTAGGGTTTTCGGTTTTCAGGTTTAGGGTTTAAGGGTTAGGGTTTAGGGTTTAGGGTTTAGGTTTAGGGTTTAGGTTTAGGGTTTCGGTTTAGGGTTTGGGTTTTAGGGTTTTAGGGTTTAGGGTTTTAGGATTCGGGGTTTAAGGGTTTTAGGTTTAGGGTTTAGGGTTTAGGGTTTAGGGTTTATTAAGGGTTTAGGTTAGGGTTTAGGGTGTAGGGTTTAGGGTTTTTAGGGTTTAGGGTTTAGGGTTTAGGGTTAGGGTTTAGGTTAGGGTTTAGGTTAGGGTTTAGGGTTTCGGGTTTAGGGTTTTAGGGTTTAGGGTTTTAGGGTTTAGGGTTTTGGGGTTTAGGGTTTAGGGTGTAGGGGGTTTAGGGGTTTAGGGTTTTAGGGGTTTTAGGGTTAGGGTTTAGGGTTTAGGGTTTAGGGTTTAGGGTTTAGGGTTTAGGGTTTAGGGTTTAGGGTTTAGGGTTTAGGGTTTAGGGTTTAGGGTTTAGGGTTTAGGGTTTAGGGTTTAGGGTTTAGGGTTCAGCATCTCAAGTTCGAGCATTTACTAGGCCAGCAGTGTGTGTAGGCAACGGAACAAAACCCACCCGCCCAAAGAATCCCATAACATTACGAAAATAAAAAGCTTATTAATTTCTTATTCGTGCTGAACCATGGAGGGTTAGAGAGGTCAGCATTTCAGGGGTAAAATACCCTCCACGAAGCCTCCCTAAGAGGGTCGGAGGGGTCAAAATGGATCAAATTCTCCAATTGGTGCTGAACAATGGGGGGTCAGAGGGGTCGGAGAAGCCAAAATGGATCAAATTCTCCAATTGGTGCTGAACAATGGGGGGTCAGAGGGGTCGAAAAAGCCAAAATGGATCAAATTCTCCAATTGGTGCTGAACAATGGGGGGTCAAAGGGGTCAGAAGGGTCGACGTGGGTCAAATTCTCCAATTGATGCTGAACAATGAGGGGGTCAAAGGGGTTCAAAGGGGTCGGAGGGGTCGAAATGGATCAAATTCTCCAATTGGTGCTGAACAATGGGGTGCCAAGGGGGTCGGAGCGGCCGAAATGGATCAAATTCTCCAATTGGTGCCGAACAATGGGGGGTCAAAGGGGTCGGAGGGGTCGAAATGGATCAAATTCTCCAATTGGTGCTGAACAATGGGGGGTCAAGGGGTCCGAGGGGTCGAAATGGATCAAATTCTCCAATTGGTGCTTAACAATGGGGGGTTAAAGGGGTCAGAGGGCCAGCATTGAGAGGGCCAGAGAAATCT